TTGGAAAGATTTTCCTTCTTGATTTGCAAATCAAACACGTCTTGGCAAGAACAAAAATCAGAAGCACTATTGAAAACTTTAGGCTTCCCTTCACTGAACAGTATTAAAAACTTGGTGTCAAAGTCCGACCGAGCTCCGAAAAAATGCTTTTGAAAATGAAATTTCTAAAAGTGCCCGAGGGCTTCCTTTACAACCTAATAGAAGCAATTTTGCTCCATAAATCAATCGAGTAGGCACGCTTGTACTGTATTAAAAAAATCTTTATAAAAATCTCCCACTTAAATATACTGAAATCTTCAGAGAAAAAAACGTGGAATTCTTGAGACGAAAGATCTCAAGACTATTGAGACTATTAAGACTCGTAAAAACCCATCATTGGCAGTTGTCATGAATCATCTGAAATGGGGGATGACAAACAGAACGAAACAATCAAGAGAGGAAAAATATAAAATTTTCATTAGTAGCAGAAACGAAAGGGCACTGAAGGCGTGCGCTGCGGGGGCGTCGTGAGGGTACAGTCGAGTAGATTTAGCGGTAAATATAGTGTGCTTTCACAGAAGGTGAAATGCGGTGAAATTTGCGCGTGAACAAGTAGCCACGCCACTACTGCGGGTATTTTGCGCGCGCAATTGGCCGGCGTCACAGTCGGAGCTATTTCTTCACGCGCCAATTTTACCGCATTTCACCTTCTGTGCAAGCATACTATATTTACCGCTGAATCTACTCGATTGTACCTATGGGAAGCTGGCCGGGGTGCAAACTACACACTTTAACCTCTTATGGCATTAGTCGTATACCTTATGATTTTATTGAGTAGATGCATAAAATGCATGTTATTTATTCTTGAACGGCAGAAAAGATACAAAGATCTAAGAAAGTATTTATTATGAGTAGAGCATCCCCTACAAGATGGTGTTCAGGTAATCTCAAAATTGATAAAGGGAAAAAATCTGAAGTTTTCTAAATGACCGATTTGGCATATTCTAGTAAAGTCAATGCTGGATTGGCCGAACTTACCAGGGAAGGAAGGTTGGTCGAAGTGGCCTTTTAGAATGAGATGTATACTGTCTTGTAGAGCTTGGAAAGCTAATCCCAAATCTGTCTTCGCTATCTGCTGCGGGTTTTTGGGCGAGGAGTTATGAAGGTTTTTGTAAGTAAAAATCTGAATGCAAGAATAGGGTAAAATCAGTCATAACCTTTTCCCGAGGTTCAAATGAGGCAGCAGCGAGTTGGTACATTTGAATCAAGAATATTTGTTGCACCGAGTGACCCGACTACGATTGAGTCCTATGAAAACTGTTACGACTGATTTTAGCCTACTCTTGAATTCAGATTTTTACTCACAAAAACCTTCATATCTCCTCGCCCAGAAGCCCGCAGCAGATAGCGAAGGCAGAATTGGAATCAGCGTTCCAAGCTCTACAAGGCAGTCATACCTTCGATAGTCTAGAGACAGGGCGCCAAAAGTGAAGGTTGTTTGAACATCTGACGTCACAAATGGTGAAGGTTGTTCAAAGAAGATCAGAGAAGAGAATATGATGTAAAACAGACATAAAAGCAAAAGAAACGGCTGTAAACCGGATAAAAACGCTGCAATAAGATTTGAAATCTTTCATTTGGCGGCTTTACAGAGTGCAAGTTTTCGCTCCAGGACCAGCAATTCGCAACACGGGGTTTTGATTTTTGATGCGTCCTTTAAATTTTACCCCCGCGCCGTCCCTCTTGTACCCTGCGACGTTGTCTAGATTCTTCCGCTCATCATTCTGAGCAAGTATCGTCCAAGCTGGAGAAAATTCGTTGCGAAACTACTGAAAAAGAATAAGGTAAAGAAAAACGCATTTTTTAGTAATTTTCACAAAAAAAGCGGCATGAGCAAAGAAATAAGCATGCCGACGTTGTCTACATTATAGACAGAAACAAGACCTATCGACTACACAAAGAAACTGCGTGAAAAGAGTCAAACTAGGAGAAAAACGAGAGATTTTCAAAAACAAGGTTTTCGCCGGTTTTCTTGTTTAAATCATAAAAAGGAGTCCTGCGACGTTGTCAGCGTGAAAATAGAGATCAAGAGCTTCAAAATGATATATAGCTTGCTAGAATTGGGTTCGAAACAGCGAAGAAAAGGGTACCAGAGCCAAATGCCCCGCGCCCCGCGCTTGGGGTAGCGAGGTAGCGCGCAGCGCGCGGAGACGCAGACGAGCAGCGGAGAGAGACCAGAGCCGGCGGGGCATTTGACTCTGGTTATTGATCTCCGCGGGGTCATAACGAAACCCTATAATACTATATATCGTTGTGATCCTCATGACACGGCCAGAAGCACTGACAACGTCGCGGGTCTTGAATCTCACTCCAGAACGAGATAGACCAGCATTTATGTGGCGACTCTCTGCGCAAGATTTCAGCGCAGTTTCTCGTTTTTGTTGAACTCCAGCGGCTTTCATGAACCTCCAACGCTCAATCGCAGTCTATAGAAAGGTTAACTGATAAGTTTTGTCCTAATTTCTAACTGAATTTTTGAAGAAAAACCCTCTTTTCAGCAAAAAAGGCCATGAAAACGCAATCTTTCGGTTTTTTGAGCTTTTCTTTGGATGTCACTACTATATTTGCCTCATTCACATTCATCCTTAAATAGTTAGTCATTAGTTATGTCATAATATCCGGGGCTTCGCCCCGGATGACTTGTACTCCTCTCCAGGTGAAGGTTGTGTCCTCTCATGACACTCAAAGTGAAGATTACCAGAGTACGTGGCTCTATGTATCGAAGGTATGAAGGCAGTATACACCTCATTTCAAAAGGCCACTTCGATCAACCTTCCTTTCCTTGTTAGATAATTCCATACTACAAGCCTTTGGAAGTATGACGGAAAATTTTCACCTTTGTCGAGGCTAAGCTGCCGAGAAAGATCAAGCCTAACATTTTTGTCGCAGGATCTTTCTAGACGGAAATTTGACTTTTGGATGTTTAAAATTTTCGGGTAGGGTAACTCCGCCAGTTTGATCCCTTCTTCGCTAGCAACTGGTCCTTCTGCTATATTATTGCATGTCGTTGCGACCAGTTCCGCGGAGGCGGTTCAAACTGGCGGAGTTCGTTCCTACCCAAATTTCTAGTTTTTTCCTCTAACTCCACGCAGATCCAACCTTTTGCGATCTTTCAAACACTTTCTTGTAGAGCTTGTTCGGCTCTATCGCATAATGTATTTTAGAAATTTTTCCATCCTTTCTGTCGCTTCAGAATAAGGAAACAGCAATAAGGAACATGTATTTTTCATCAATTTAATAATAGGACACTAGGATGCTATCCGGTAGAGCAAAGCAAGCTCTACAAGATGTGTACAAAAGTTCGCTCCAGCTTCGACTCACAGTAGATTTGCACCCAGATTTGAGTCTCACAGAAAGCTTTGAAAAATTACGGGGATTCATAACTTTGTAAAATTTCACGGATCTCCAACTTGCTCACGTAAATTGCACATCCTACAGACATTCATATGTAAAGTCGCTGTATTTTTTCCATCTTTTCATGGTAATACGAAAGCGAAGCTATGCTGCTTTCGCTTACGCGTTTGTATACTACAAGTCCCTAAAGGTATAACCGTAACTTTTCAGTTTTCCATAGGGCCTGCCTAGTTTTCGAAAACTCTGAAAGCTTCTTCCTCAGTCTATTCCACATTTTGCCAATCAATCAGTGGAATTTTTCATATAGCTTCTTGTAATCATTTTGATAATAAAAAAAAACTTTAGCGTTGATGGTTTGTTCAAGAAATAACGAATAGCCGATGAAAACGTGATTAAAGACGCATGACGACAGAAAAGAGCAGCAATGCTAAAGGCACCCGCCATACTTGATCCGCTTGATCCGCTTGATCCGCTTCGTCATTGGTCAATTCAGTGAACTGACCAATAGTAAAGTGGATGAAGTAGATCAAGTGGATTAAGCGGATCAAGTATGGCGGGTGCCAAACCCATCCGCATAATCATGCCGCAAATGCACACAACACCGAGAAATTCACCTTTTTCCACAAACACCCGAAATTTTCTACTGTTCGTCAATTTTTGTATCTGCATCTAGTTGCCCAGTTTATCTTTTGAAGTCTTCCTGGATACCCACTACCCCTTCCTCCCAAGCCAACGCTGTTGTGGCACGAGCGCTCAAACGGTCAGTGAACAAAGTGAAAAACTTCTCAAGTTTCACAAAATTCGTCTTTTATGTGTATCGCATGGAAAGCCATGTGGAGCGCACAACGAGCATCTTTCCTGTATCAAAATGGAAATGCACGCCAGCTTATCGTAGTAATTCAGACGGACATACAGTCTGTCCTAATTGCTGTTCACAATCGTCATTCCTATTATGGGTATGATAAAGATACTTATCGGTCTAGCCTTTCTGCTTCACTCGCTACTCTATCGCAACATGCAGTTCTCTGAACGAGTTCGGTGATTCCGCCCCCTATCCATCTTCCAATACGACCCCCAAGGTCAGGCATACCACAACTTTGCCTTCTGCTTTGCAGAGAAGTTGTCTTTCATCTGGTCAAACTTTGGGCACTCAAAGCAGTGTCAAAGACTAGTGTGCAAACCTTTCAGATTCTTTTGACAGAAACCAGACGTTATAACAATTTGTAATACATCCAAGTTATTGCCGTTAACACCGAACTTCAAACTAAATATTTAATAGAAAAAGGATAAAACGTAACATGAAAACACCAAACTTAGCTTATGAACATGTCATCTAATTACATACAATTCTACTTTCACAGTTTGACATGTTTTGTGTAAAACCGGGACTTATATCTCACTGGGTCATAAACTGGGCACTGGTAAAACTCCGGGTACGAATGTTAAAACAACGCATAGCGTTACAAAGAATCAATCTGCTATTACAAAAACACAACAGGATATCCATGATCAAAGAGAGAACTAAAACGGTCAAGTCAATGGTCATCTACCTCAAGCGACGAGAAAATGATACAAACAAAAGACGCACAGTTAAGGGCATTAGGGCCCTAGTTAGACTCGACGGAAATGGGGGCGAGGCCTCGCAATCTAATGTACAAAACCGCGGCGCTGAGCACTGGGAGCTAAACACTGTCAAGAGAACTATGGGACGCAGAACTTGATGCTGCTCATCATTTCCTCCACACCCTGCTCACTCTCATGGGCAGGGCCACGCTGAGCTGGGAAAGGCGTTTGTAGTTCTACTAAGCAGTTAAAGGCTAAACACAACATATGCTGGGAGGTCTCGGTTGCGAAAATGGATAAAAATGAGGCTTAATACAAACGAGGTTTCGCACTAGATGAGGTAAAACGGTTGTATGCAGGTAGATCCTTTACAAATGATAAAAAATAGCTACGCAGCGCTAGAATGCGAGGGCGGAGGTAGGAAGAAGGGTTGCTACGAGAACACTTGGAGAACGGAAATGTAACTGCGCACTTGGGCAAGGGGTACGATCTAGCAGACGCAGACCTGGTGAAACTGAAACGAGCGATAGGCCCAGGCATTGATGAGCAATGGGAGGATTGGATTACGAACCGGACTGATTTGGGGATAAACTCTGTCTGAAACTCAAAACAAACAAACCAACAAGGGATAGATGGAGAAGAAAATAGAAGAGCATCGAATCACATTGTTCTGACGAGAGAGCAAGCGAGGGGCGCGAACTCGAAGCAGAGGGCTCAAAGCGCACGGAGCATATGTTCACCTAGTGATACAACACAAACAAATGTTGGCTTAGAGCCAGGTTCCACCTTTGATGAACGAAAAGATCACATCTTAGCATCGATGAGCGGTTGACCACTCAAAACACGCGCACACAATTATTACCGAAATCCACCACGTAAATCCGCCCATCCGGAGCTATGGCCACGTCCGTGGGACGATCAAGCAGAGGGCGAGGCCCAGTCGAGGCATTATCAAGGGAAGCTCCACCTGTTGGTGTGTTAGCAGGGTGGAAAGGAGTAGGCCCTACCGAACGGAACGGTGCTGGCAATTCTGCCGGCATTTCAAATCCAGAGGACGATGACTGACCAAATACTGCGATGCATCGCATGTCGTCCCCAGAAAATACCTGCAAACTGATGATCGTAATCAAGGCAATGTTGAGAAGAGAGAGAGAAAGCTCATACCAGATCAAATTGAGCGCTGGTATCAAGTAAATGGTGGAAACTTTCTCAAACTAATGGAACTGGGCTGCAAAATTGGCTTAGCTTGTAGCAAAATGCAAGAGAAAAGCAAAATGCGCTATATGGATTGTTTATGTATTAAAATTGATTGGCGACGAAATCTAGTGCACATAAACGAAATACTAGATGATATTAAGTCGATGCGCAATTCTTGCACCAAGAAATAGAAGAAACAGTTAGAAATGATTTTAAAAACTTGTTTTGATTCAGGAAACATGCTCTTTGTCAAGTATTTAGAAATGATATCTAATATATAAAGAAACGTAAGCGAAATTATAAAACATGCAAATAGCGGGAAACGTGTGGCGATCCCGAAGCGCGCGGATGGATGTAATCTAGCACCTTTAACTGCTGGTTCACTAGTTTTATAACGCATTTTTGAAGAACAATCTAGAACAAGATCGATAAATCGAATTAAACAAACCAAATTCATAACTATTCGAGGAGACATCCATTCACTACCAACTTCTTCCAGTCAAAAAGAGTAGGTCATAAGACCAACACCAAAAATAAATTTAGATCACAGTAGACGTTTTAGCGATCTAAGTGCTTCGAATTCAAAACGTCAAAAATCAAAATTTGAAAAATCACTAGATTAATTCACTTAAGCCTGTATGGTTGCCATATGCTAGCAGAAAATTTTTATTCAAACACATGCGGAAAGCCCAAGATTTCCTCTCTCTAACATGTGTCAAGAAGATTCTTTGAAGGTAATTTCAGAAGATTTGGTGCAAGAAATATGCATCAATCTAATACAACGACTCAACGCGCTGCCGTCATATTTACTTCGCTTTCAATCGCAAACTCTTTGTTCTCATACCTGTATACGATTATTTCGCGAATCACAGATGAGTATATGACCTTCCGGATCAACCTTTACTCCCTGAGGACGACAGAACATTCCTTCAACACTACCCTCACTACCGTACACCTTCATCTCAGGAGTATCACGTGAGGAAAGCACCGCCAGGCGATGATTGTTGAAGTCACTGCAAATACATTTTGAGGGGACAAACAGAAAACACTACTATGAGGGATTACGTGATGAGCAGTTGACCATCAGATAAGTAGCAAACGCCTCGCGGCGAATCAAGATGCTTGTAGAAAAAGGCGGTATCGAATCCACATTTTCGAATAAACTGGCCATTTTCGTTGAAAATCTTTGCAAAGACATTAAGTCAATCATAATCCTAATATGCAGCTTCAACTCACTTGTACGCGATGATTTCTCGTATCTGATACTGCTATATGGTTCTGACTATTTGTTGCCACTCCCCATGGATAATTGAACATTCCAATTGGTCTGCCTCTTTCACCAAATTTCAATAAAAAGTTCCCATTTTCATCGAAAACTTGTATCCTGTGATTGTCCTTATCCGCCACGATTATGTTATTCTGCAAAGTGCAAGTAATTAAGACAATCATGTGCTAGCACATCTGAACGATTACCCTTGTATTGACGGTGATTCCAGCAGGGCGATCAAACTGTCCAGGACGGGTTCCACCGCATCCGAATTTTGCAAGAAAACCACCATCACGATCGAATATCTTCAATAAAGAAAAAGCAGTAATGTGGATATAGATGCACACCAGTGGCGTAGACAGGATTTCCGCTTGGGGGGGGGAGGGCAAAAAAATTTTTCTTAAGGTGCATGGCGTCAGCTACGCACCCAGAAACAATTTTTGCTATTCAAAATTTCCGCGGGCCCATAACCCCAAAATGCTAAAAAAAGGGCCGAAAAGAATTTTTTTATAAGGCTAAATTGAAATTTTGGAAAATTAAGATTATTTTAACTACTTACAAGGATGAATAAGTCAGCACATTTTTATAACTCATATAAGTGAATTTCAAAAATTTCGCGACCCATTCTCGGGGGAGGGGGGCGCCTCCCTCCCCTCAAAACGCCACTAATGCACACATATCCACACCGACCTGGATGCGATTGTTGCTTCTGTCAGCTACTAAAACGCGACCACGTAGGTCAACACAGATTCCCCAAGGACGACAAAGCTCGCCATCGGCAGACCCTAGAAGTGACCACTTTTAAGGGAAGGTTCTACACCGACTTCTCTCTGGTGTGTGATTGTCAAGTCGCGAAGCAAAAAAAGAAACACATTAACCTTCTTTTCCGAACGAGAACAGCTCTCCCTGTGCTGCAATTTCTGCATAGTTTCGACCGTGACGTACTTCCACAGCCACTGGGCAGCCACTGAAGATAAGTCAATCAATAATAAAGTCTGAGTATGAAGCTTCCAACACTTTTGCAAGATTCATTACAATAATTCATCACAGTACCTCAAACAAAACCAGTCTCTCGATCCATACCTTACTTAGCAAGCAACAACTCTCGGGTCAAAATACAACATTCTCACATGCTCTTTTTGGAGTTGAAACAGTAAGCCGTTATTGTCCTAAAGAATTTGCAACGAAAACGTCATTTTTTGGAACTACCGGAAGAATCGACAGCTCACGACCAGTAACACTATCACTTAAAGATAAATGAGAGAATGTGAAAGCAAGAATTGACTTTGAAGTAATTGAAATGTAATAACATGAATAACGAATACCTTATGGACACACCGCGGACGCGAATATCTAGCTGGTGCTGTCCATCCAGTACTGGAAAATATGCGATTCCGACAACGCCAGGTTCACTCTCACTACGGCTGGAATGCAAATGAAACTGCTTTCATTTCCAACAATGCAAAGTGTGACATGCTCACCCTATATGTACTTCAAGACTGCGTCCATCAGGAGCGACAATGGTAGCGGTAACATCCCGTACACCACCATCAGCACGGTCGGTTGGCACAACTTCTCCACAAGCATCTCGCAGCTGCACATAGATGATGCACTGGCGTTCACGTATGGGCCTTAAAATGAGATTCCAGAAGTCACTATACACTCGGAACAGAATTCACCTCTTGTAACCTTCTCCAACAAGATGACAAAGACGTGCACAAGGTCCACTTTCCAATTCACCCAATGAGCGAATCCTAGGTTATACAATTGAAACTCAGCACTCATCTCTACAGAAAACACTCACTGTTGCAGCAGCTGATTATCTGGCACAGTAAACTTTACGACATCATTTTCATGTGGAATTAGGTGAATCGGCTGAGTGTACAACTGGAAAAATTTATGGACTGACTAACCGAACTCCACTATGAATCTAATCCCCAAATTTGCTATGAGAATTGATATAACATATGGTGCGCCAGTATGGTAATACTAATCACGAATGAGCACGCAAAACATATGAAATTCTTATTGATTTCCAAAAAAAAAGAGAAAGCTATCCTCAGAGTTAGACGGTACGTTCCTAAATGATGCTTTTCAACAAACCTGGAGCAACTCCTGAAAAGCTGGAACAAGGTGACCAGCGTCTTCATCAGCTGCAGCTGCCTCAACAGATTTGATTGTCTGAAGAGGATAGACTTCAGATAAGATGTGATACTGAAGCATAGACCATTTCAAAAAACTAAAACAATGGTACCTGCGCAAATCTCGTCTTTGCGTGGGCCAGATTTTCTGCTTGAGCTTTCAGATTCTTCGTCTTCGTCTGTCTGATAGTGTCAACTCTTTGGAGTAATTCTCGTTTCCTCTCCTCCAATGCACTCATATGCAGGTGCATGAGGGATCTGAGTTCGGATGCAGCAGCCTAAAACTAGAAGAAATAACGTCACACTTTGACTCATTATGGAAGAAAGCACCTGCACGCTTGCATCAACCCGTTCAGACATTGCGCGCACGCTCTCGATTGCCTCCTCAATGCTACGCTCATTACGCCGAGACTCCGCCAAAAGTGAATTTATGCAAGCACGTGCGTCACCTGAAAGGTTGTTCTTTGAAGACAGTGGATGGGGCAATGTGTGGGCGCGTCCCAATGGGACCAAAAGACTCATTTGAAAGTCAAGATGTAAATACCTGAGTGAATTTACATAGTGCGGTCCCAAACTCGATCTGTTTGCCAAAACAACGAATCTACACCTACACCTAGACTTAAAGTGTTCTAATCATTACGCCCTAAAAACTGTAGACAAACCGCAATCCCCAAGCTTTAATCGGGTAAATTAACATAGTGCGTTCCCAAACTCGATATGTTTGCCGAACGAATCTACAACTATACCTAGACTCAAACTATTTATTCAATACACCCTAAAAACTATAGAGAAAAAGCAATTCCTTAAGCTTTAATTTCCAAAATCCACAATTTCAAGGCATGCTGGACAACCATGAACATAAAGAAGTGAGAAAAAGACTGAGTAAAGTTCTAAAACATACCTAGAGGTGATATATGATGTGTGGCGTGTAGAGAGATGCAATGCGCACAAAGGGACACTCTTCCACAAGTTTCGCAGACGCAGAATACTTTCGCATCATGTGTCGAACAAACAGACGATGCTCTCGGAGATGAATCCGACGATTCTCCGATGACCCCGTCGTCTCCAGCAGCAAAAGCGTTGGCAGTCTAGAATAAAAAAAAAATCAAAATTTTTCATTGATTACCTATAAACTACTTACCATATGACAAAGTAACTGCTGGAGCGAGATGACAACATGGTCGCGTGTGACGCGAACTCTTTGATGGGCTACAACGCAAACTGCGCAAAGTAGCTCTCGACAGTTTGCACAGAAGGCTTCAGCTCTAAAGATTCACTTTTGTAAATAAAATTGACATTTTCTTCATATCTCAAAAACTTCAGGTTTTTGCAAACATCACGGGCTCGCACACAACCTTTGAGTAAAACCGGTTTCTCGGTATACGCCTTCCGTTACCTCGATCTTGACAGAGATCTCGAGTTGTTCTCGAAAATTTAGTAAGGATAAAATGACTGAAAACCATGTGCGGAGCCGTGATAAGAAGTGTTAGTCGAAAATTTGAATTTAGACATATTTCAAATATGAACTGCTAGACTCACCTCGCATTTACGCCACATGTTGCACATGTTGGCATCAATGGACGTTGTGGTGTCGTGACATTGAGCGCATTGCTTGTAGGAAGAGGTGAAGTCACAGCAGATGGGTTTACAAGTGGTGGGTTAGGCGAAAATACAGGCGGATGGTCATCGTCCGGTCGAAGAGGAGTCTCTGGTAGTACGATACCCTTCGATGTGGAGCCGCCTCGCGTTGGTGTTGAGAGTTTAGAGCGATTGTCCCAAAGATTAAATGTTTCTAGCGGGGCGGAGAGTTCGCCGAGGCCAAGGCTCATGTTCTGAACAAAAAATTGGGAGCATTTCTTGCTGACAATGGACAGAATGTGTACCGACAACCTGAATAGCATCTGTTAAGCCGTTCTGATAGGAGCCGATCGAGGCTTTGTGCATTGAGAGCGCATTCTCCAACAGCTCTGAAACAAAGTTTGTGTAGAAGCAAATTTGATCTATTGCAAAACTTACCATTTGAGTGATCGGCATGTGGTGGAGATAGGAACATATAAGGTGGAAATGGTGAAGCGCCTGCATTTGCAAAGCAAATCAGGCACTTGCGGCTATCTGTTAGGGAACAGCATTGTCCACAAATTCTGGAAACATCCACTTGACCATCTTCAAGCCAAGAAGGGCTTCAGACTAGACTATCTGCGTAGTATTGTGTGCAAAATGCCGTCTCTACGTAGCTCTTTTTTTCTCTATTAGCTATAAACAAGTAACGATCGAAAGCTCTGGCAGCGCAAGGCACTGCAAGGCACGGACTGGTAGATGTAGAGAACGAACTTGTGTGAGCAAGAGAATTGTCGATGCTGCCCTTGGATGTCTTTCTGACAGATCGAGCAACGTTGGGATGATCGAAACGGCGATGAGAACATGTCATACTGTGGAGAGGCGAGGAGCGACTGCGGTGTTTCGAAAAGGCTACCCTGAAATCGTTCAACTTTCCATTCTCAAATAACCTTCACGATGGCGATTTACCGATCGGCCACTACCACCACAAAAAACCGGGTGCGTATCGTTACGTGCGGACTGCCCATTGGAAAACGTCGCGCGCGACAGGCTGCCAGTGACCGCACTCAGGAAATTCGGCTAGCATGATTCTCAGCACACACTTTCTCAATCTCTCATCCTTTGTTGAGGTTCACAGACTATTCCCATATTAGTTTTGCTTGATTATTTGAAGTTACCCCACAAAACCTGTAAAATTAGCACTTTGGAGGACAAAAAAGACATAAACTGTTGAATGTAAAAGACTAACAGTATAGAAGAAGCATTGATGATCTAGGTGTATAGATTTGAAAAGTTTGCTGCACTACTTCTCCCCGCGCGCTGCCGCGTTGCGACGTTTTCCAATGGGCAGCCCGCACGTAACGAGCGCCCCCCCAAAAAACCCCTTCTATCGTATCCCGCCATCAGACGTCAAACCTCCTGATATTGGTGCATCTTCGTCTCATATTTTCAATTTCGACCCTCGCTACGCTACTGTATTCAGGCTGAAGCTTCTCCCAACCCTTTATCCACAAACACTGGTTGTGACACAACCTTAGCAGTCTCATTATAACCGAAAACTAGGCTTATATTTGATTTTTACTAAACCTTCTGGCAACTTTTCGACTCCCAAAATTTCCAAAGTGACCTTCTGAACAATGGTCATCATTAGCTTATACGTCTTTTCATCAACTCAATTACTCGCTCGTAACTGTGCCTGCATCCACACAGTTTGCTCAAGACCATTAGCGAGCTATGTGAAGGAAGGCATCCATTCTTGATTTTTCAGCTTCAACATTCCCTTTAAATTGTGCTCATCAAATGTTTCCGTTGACCTCTTACTGGCGAATTTTCGCTCATAATCAAGAAATGCTCGCAGCAACTTTTCCCTTATAAATAGCTGTTATTGCAAATCGAAAGTTTGAACATACCAAACCGTGACCAACTCATGCTCCCCCTGCAACAGACCACCTAATCAACCTAACAGATTTCTGATCAACGATGATTTCATGAGTTCATCCACGCTAGTAAGATAACTGACTCCATTTTTTCTGTAAAACTGCGTTCTGACCTGTGACCCTCCCCCACCCCCTTCCTAGCTCTCCTTCACATTAAAAACTGTTTTTTGGGGCATTCACAAAATGAGGAACGCGGCAGCTATGCGCGTCGCGTACGCATTCCCCCACAATGCTTTTTTGGTCTTTCATTTGAAAATCTGACTTTTGCTTCCATATCCTAATTTTTGGAAACTTTAGGTGATTATGCTAGGCACTAGGTCGGGCCATTCATTCTGCCATTCGGGAACCTGCGATGACTTTTCGGCAAATGTCGCGGTCCCGTTTCACGAGATAAGGACCCTATATGCATCAAGCGGACTTTTCATTGAGGAGATGAGGAAACTGCCCATGACAACGGTCATTTCTTCCTGGGCATTTCGGTGCTCCCTCGAGCCACAAAACGCTCAAAAGAATGTCGTCAATGATTGCTCTATCATGTTCAACCACTGCCTAATTTATGCCACCAATTTTTGCAAATTGTTCAAATTTAGTGACGCTTATGATGTTCCCTTTCACATGGCAGCATACATTGTGATTAACATAACAGCTTGCTTTGCGTTGCATTCAAGGCAAGTTTTGAGTGATGAATATGGCCATTTATAGCAAACTGGCGGTTTATGAAAGGGCCAAGCTTATTATCCTTGTAACCGCTAACTTGGGCCTGAGTAAGGGTACTGTTCACCCGATAAAAATTGGTATCAACGTGAACGCGACCCCACCGAAATTCGATCAAGCGACGTTGAGTAGTTTGGCCAGTTACAAAATTTTGACAGAGCCAATCCCAAAATAACCAAATTCCGCGATGACTTTATCGTCAAAATATTGCTTCCTAGCGCGAGCACCATCAACTATCACAAAGAAAAATTTCAAAGCTAATAGCTCAACTAATACCCATCTCAAACTCGCTAACTTTCAACGTGAGCGTGCTCTATCAAGTTCAGAACCCTCAGCCAATTAGACAACTACCGTACCTCCCCTACAGTAACCGCACTGTTCTGGGCTGCATCGTTGGGCTCCCAGCTTTTGTTTAGCCATGAAAGGCTGAAGGGAAGCTTTTCAATCCTTGAGATTGAGACTTTAGGAGAAAAGCACATCTTCAGGACTTGTATGCCTATTGAAAAGACGAAGCGCCAAAGGTCAGAAAGCTTTAAATACTACGTAAACCCTTCGTGCATCAAATCAAATCCCAAAACCCATCCCCAACCCCCTCTAATCTCAAAATGCCTCAATTTCCTTCTTCCCATGACTCCGCCATCAGAAAAAAAATCAAATTAGTCTTGAACTCACATGATAGCCATTGCTGCTATTGAAGGAGTCTTGTGGATCTCCCGTGAATGGTACCGCATTGTTCGTTGCCGTTGTCGTCGTGCCAGCCCCAGTCTTCTGTCCCGCCCCGTCTCCCTCTTCACTGCGGGGATCCACTCGTTGCATCGTCAATTTATCTTGTGTTTGTTGCGAATCGTGAGTAATTTAGCCTAGAAATAGTACAAGAACATTTGTTGGGGAGTACCGTGCACTCCTTTTGTCAAAAGTTCTTTTCAGAAAAAAACTACATTTTTTTAGGTCAGATATGAAGGTGGAGTTGATGCTACCATTTTTCTTTGAGAAAAATAGGAAAACAGCACCGAAGTATACAATCCGACTGAAATTCGTCTCCCCCAAAGGGAAACTCAATAAGACGAAGTACAGAAAAAAATGGGGTCCATATAAACCCACAAAACTCTAATTTTCATACCTGATGTGTTCAGAAGGATGCTGTGAGCATCTCTAGTCAATTCTACTAGTGGACAGACGAAAGCTGAGCTGTCGAACTGTCCCGCCAAGCTACCCGTCGACCGCGTCGGCCTTAAATGTGTAAAATTATGGATAAAACTGAGCATTTGTCAAAACTACGACAAGAAGTACTAGTTCTACCCCTAACAATAAGACTCCTTAGTTCCTCACAAAACAAAAGCTCGAAAAATTACGGAAATGAAATGAGCACGGATCGATAGGCGGTTTTTTCTGCCAATAGCGCTCTGGTGGTTCTACACATGAAGATCTTCCTCTCTACGAAAGTTTTCCTATACAGTACTCATATGGGGAATGAGAGTACCAATAAAATCGCGGAAAGCATAGCGATACGGGGTCTAGGACGGGGGTTTTTTTGTGCGGGCGGCGGGCGCGCGAGAGGCACGAGCACTGAAAAAATGGTTGAAAAAGTGGCCGGACAGAGTGCAGACATGGCAGGGTCGGCGTCAGGGACGCAGAGGTACTCACCGGCAGCGGGAAAAAATCGGCGAATCAAGTTGGGTGGCCATAAAGAAGTAGATCACGGAGCTGTGGGAGGTGTTCCATCCTTTCTAGAACTCCCTAGAACCTCTTTCTTCCCTCCTGGGAGAATTCCGGCAGTCTGAAGACATCGTCTGACCTGTAACCGCCTACATGTCTCTGCAAAAAAAAAAAGAACTTTCGCTGGTGCATTTGCGGGATTTTCAAAAATTCAATGGATTTTTGCGCTATTTTGCTGTGAAACTTCTTCCTTCGACACAAAAAATCCTCAGAAATCAATGGTAAAGGACGATTTTATGTTTCGGAGCGGTTCGCAAGGGCATGCCCTTGCCGCCACCGCCGACGTTCGACACTCTTCCACAGCAGATGTCAATCAATTACTGCCTGTATCTCTTTCGTGTTCATTGGAAGACGGAAAAAATTTTACTTCAGGGTTACTGGAGATTATCGCATGACATTGTGACCGATTTCACCAGACAGAAAGTTCATGGAATACCGTATGCCTTCTGTGAAGCTTTCTTACCAAGTTCTCCCCTCTCCCACCATTACCGAAGCATTTATGGGAGGTAAACCTTCAATGGTTGACCTACCCGTAGGGTAGACCCTATCTATTATGACCCAACAGTCTCTGTTCTTTTCCATCCCCTCTCTCTCCCATACGTCTCTCCCACCGCAGCAAAGTTTGAACTGATGGTCAAAGAACGAAAAGACCGCACACGCTGTTTTGATCCCAAAACTAAGTAACAAATTCAGATAGGGTGAAGGTTAGGGCCCCACAGCCCAGTGTTCGGAGGTCATTATTTTTAATCTGGCACTGGCAGACACAAAATCTGAATGTTTCTTGTTCCAAAGATTTTGGATCCAAACTGATTATGGCGTCAAATTATTCCGATTGATTCAGACCCATTCTACCGTTTCCCAATAAATCTTTGGAAAAAACTTCACAGTAATTTTTTCGGAGTTATAAATGGGGATATTTTTCAATACCCATTGTCCAGTACTTTCAAAACTTTGCATCCCTTTCGAAAAGTGCATTGTTTGGCTGCTGGTCTCATTATCTGTCACAACAGTACACAATATGCACTCTTGGCAACGTGCAAAGCTGCACGCATTTGAAGTAATTTGAAAATAATAAGGGTCTCAAGCGATATGCACTGATGAGGCGGGTGAAGGAAGCCAGAGTTTTTTTCCTGCTAAAATATGTAGTCGAACTGAGAATGCTTTGTCTTACGAGGTTTCTCATGGGAACATGTTTCCCATGAAAGCTTCCCTGTGGGATGTTCTGCCAAGCCAAATGGGTAGAGGAGAGAGAGGCTTGAAGGCGGCGTCCGGGCAGATTTGAACATATTGGATTATGTCGCAACCGAGTACTGGGGCCTTGATCTAGAACTATCGCGCAAATCTGACATTCAAACACCCCTTGTAAAAGGAGAAAATCGGCTCAGAAAACGCCAAGCCTCGTGGACCACGCCTACTCCCTCGCACGGCCCGCCCCTTAGAACAAACTCTTCTCAGCCCTTGATATGTTTTCACGTGGCAAACATAGTCAAACACATAGTGTCTATCTGTTAATGCCTGCATTCGACAAGGATGGTATTAGGAGCACCGTCCACGGTTTTCACAAAACTGTCTCAAAAAGGGAGCTTTTTGAGGAATTCACATTTTGAGTGCAATATTTGGAATCAGCTCCGTGAAAGGGCGTGGATAAGGCAAAAATAGAGAGCGAGATTCTGCCATTCTGCCTGGACGCTGCCTTTTGGGATGACCAGTCTCGAAAAGGTATCAACTGTAATCCACACATGAACTTTTATAGGTCGTGCATGAATCTTGCAGTAGCGTTGCGTTATCCCAACAAAGATTTTATTCAAGGATTTTGATTTTGATTCACTTTAAGAAAGCGCAAAAGAAAGCGCAAAGTCTCGTCCCAAGTATCAAATAATACGATTATGGTTAAGTTAAAGAAACAAAATTTAATGTCATTATAGTAATCTAGTATTATTTAGTAATTCAGTATTCAAAGAGTATGCATGAACCTAATAGGTTTAACAAAAGCTCCTGCCTGATTCAAACGAGAATTGTTAACTCCTCAAGAAAACTAACGTTCGCCATTTTGTTCCATAATAGTAGGCTTCCTTCATAGATGTTCAAGCCCAAATTTCCTTTCAAGAATGGTTTTTCAAATGTTGTCATTTTTATGGTGACAGAATTGCGGGCCACCGCCAGCTCCGAAAGATCTCTGGAAAACGGCTCTGAATTAACATGGAAATGCAAAAATAAATTCAAAGAAAATGCCAACAGAAAAAATTCTATCACTTTTTTTTATCACATGATAATGTTTGACGAATAGGAGAAAGTCAGAGTGCTTGTTGTAAGCATCAGGTCAAATTCTTTATTCATCTTTTTTTTTCAATTCTCCCCGAATCGAGTACCTGCGAAGAAACTGCATAAGAGAATTTTTCCCATAAAATGACATTCTTTGCAAATTTTTAATGTACACTAGCTGGCAAACTCGGCTCCGCCCGTACCTGTCATTAATATAATCCTAATCAGCATGTTGAAATTACCCCTCTGTGCAACCTCCCAGCCCCGCATCCCAAACTTTGCAAATCGATAAAATCGATACCGACCGATGACGAAAAGTAGCCTACGACATCCGTCCCGCCCCGAAGTATATATGTGCAAAGTTTCGTCCAGTTCGGTTGAGAAATAAAAATTACTTTTGAAACATACGTAGAGAAAAGAGAGACACACAAACACTCACACAAACAGACATTCAGCTTTATTCATACAAATTTATTAGGTTGGTGAGAAAGTCCTTGGACATTGTCTGTAGACATTGCTTCGATGCGAGCACCAAGTAGGGCATGCGGACACCATTAGGTAGAGGAAAGCAAGCTCTACAAAGCATGCTACTTATAAGCATAAACAATGAATTCTATCGGGATAGAGGCGAAATTTTGAAGACATTGGAATTTGACAGAGCTTAGATCTGCACTTTCCGTGCACGCTCGCAAATACTCCATAATATGGCACCAACTCACATATATGCAAAGTTTGTACGAAATTCGAGCTTAATTAGCAAAAAATCAAGTAAGTGGCAAACCCCGCCCCTGTTGAACCTAAGCCCTTCCACCTGCACAGAGAGACATGTGAGAGAACAGCTACAAATTTTACCTTCGTAGATACATTGCCATTAAAATAGCAATTCTAATCTAAAAATGTCCGAAAACTTTCTTACCAACATAATGTATATGCGTGATCAAACGTGCCATAATGATATACGGACTATGTATGAATTTTTTAAGATTCCTGCGGCTATGATTGTTTTCTGACTTCGCCTTCCTCTGGCACCAACTTAAATTTGTAAAAGTTGAAACGCCATTTTTTGAAATCGTTCTCTGTGTCAGAGGAGTGCGAAAATTCTGCTTTTTCTTAGCAAGATAATGAATAAGTTTAGCATTTGAAAAGCTACCGAAGTTAGTTTGAATTATGCAAGATTTTTGTGCCAACCTTATACATTTGCTCAGAAATGGTCGAAAAATCATCACTTCAAGCTAGTCGTCTTAAACTTCTCTGAAAAATGGCATCTAGACGCTGAGCTATCGATTCAAAACATTGTTGAGATCTTGTCTTACTTGGGAACTAATTGAATTGAAATTTTTTAGCTTTGCTTTGAATTTACGCCATGTACAAAATCGAAACGGTTTAGACATAGTCTCTAATAAAAACCTTGCAAATGAAGCTGCTCCGATTGCTGACCAGCATAAACTTCATGGAATAAGCAACCGGTTTTTTTGTTGGTAAAATCATAGCAGAACAAATCAATTCACAGTCAGCTATTGCAAACAAAGACGAAGAACTTCAATGTGTTATGCAGAAACATTCTCACACAACTCTAGACACTAAGGGAGGGAGGGAGTCAAAAAGTTCGTAAGGTGTCCAATAGAAATGTGTGTTTTGTTGAAGTGTTGACGAATTTGTTGCTGAAATACTTCCCGGCGATCTCCAGGTAACAATCTATAGAGCTGGTTTCATCATAAATTCACAGTATGGATTGGGTGATCGATCGCTTGTACTGTAGAGTCACGAGGAAAACCTTGGAAAGAGATTGGAGCAGTTAGAGCATATATTGCTCCAGAGAGGAAACCAAACAAGCCAAGACTTTTACACTGTACAAATAGAATTAAAGCATAAGATTTGCTTTTTACCTTAGTGCTTCGTTTAGTGTTGTCACTTATACAGTAACAACTGCTTTTCGCCATTTTCCAAAAATGTCATTACTCATTTTAGAAAGCAAAATGCTTGTAAAAAAGGTAATTAGTGAAATCAGCGTGCTCAAAAACCCTGCCACACGTTCTTCAGATCTTTTCTTGAATACTTTTAGAAACGTTCTCATTCACAAATGCTAGAAGTTCCCACTTTGTACAGTAATGAAGAAATCTAGGCTGGAAACAGCTCTACAGAGTGGTACTTATAGAATATCAAGAGGATTTGGAGCATGAGGCTATCAACGATAAAAAGTGCAGATTTGCTTGGGATTTAATTGCAGGAGAAGGACACTACATAATTGTAAGATCGGTCTA